AGCCCAACACACCACATGAAAGATGCCTGAGATTAAAGAATATTGGTATACAAATTTGATTGATTAACCAGTGTCAAGAATTTGCTTCATGAATCATCTGATGCGACAGTCAGATAAGTTGACAAGCATACTTTAAATCCTTGGGATATGTGACGAGAGTGAAAGCAATATCTGGTTTATCTTCAATCAAGCTCGATGCACCAATATCTTAAGCAGTCAAGTCAAACCCAATTGACAATTTCCTGCATCATATTCCAAATGCAGAGTGTGTGCATTAGCTGAAATTTCATCTTAAGATGCTTCTTTGTCCCAGCGTACAGTGTTACATCAGCCACTGATAACATCAGATTGCTGAGGAGAAGATGATTCAACTAATTCAGGGACTTGATCAAGTAAGAGATTCATCTCCTCTGGAAATTCACCTTTTGCACGATTTGTCTTCCCTCCAATAATCACCTCTGTACCGTCTTGCAAGGCCCAAATCTTCGAGATTGGATAACATATGAAACAAAAAAATGAACTTGCAGGATCAGGATTATAAACCATATGGATTGCCAAAATGTCATAAGCCGAATCTTTACCTGTGAGTGAGATAAAAAACTGATGCAAGTTGTGAGCATTAAAGCACCAAAACCAGCATAAACAATTGGCACCCCAGGGTCAGTCTATATGGAAACAGGGATGTACAATAATTATGAAAAGAAGAGGAAAAGAAAAATATATCAAAAAGAAGACAAGGCAAACTCCAAACATAAAAAGTTGAAGGCAAGTTAATTACCTTTATGTCCAGCCCAGTACTACCAATTGCATCAACAATGACAATTTTAATGCCATCTATGTCAATTGGGAGCTTTGAGTTTGGCCGTCTTACTCCAACAAACTTTCCTTGTTGATCATAGAGGACAATTGACTGGAGATCACGAGCTAGCATTGATCTGAATATTCAAAGAAAATGTTAGAACAAAGGAACTTTGTATGCGGAAAATATCAATTGAAAGGCAAATCTTGGTTCCTAACAACACATCTCCATAATAACAAAGAGAAAATGCAAGTCTTATCTCCTGCATATGACTGCAGCTAATTCCCCCTTTGATGCAATTTAAATGGTTTCAAGCTTTTATCAAAGGTTATCCAACTAAAACAGAGTAGAATTCAGCAAAACCCCCGTCCAACACTTTAAGAAATAAGTAAAGAAAAAACTTGCTTCCCCATAGTACGGGCATTTTTATAGGGGAATATGCTAAATGATTTTCCAAAAGAGATACAAAACTAGAGATCTCCACAAGTTACATGTACTAATAAAACAAACATACATTCCCTTGACATCAGGAGAATTAACATCTCCAATAGGCAGGAATGTTCCATAGAGTTTCTTGTCACCATTGATTTGAAGAGGTGCCATTGCCAAATTGAATGGCCCTTCATTATCCTTCAATATTTGAAGTGCTGAAAGACTCCAGTCTGTCTGGTATATAGTAATTCCTCCATACCTCAATGGATCATTCACACTTATAGTTTTCCTCATCACCTCCTTGCCATTGAGGTCAAGTAATGAAAGGTCAGTGTGGAACTGTCTTACCTATTAAAGAAACAAAAAGATAAAAGAACAAATTAGCTGAATTGGATAACAGAAACAACTAGCTAGGCAAAAAGAAAATTGAAGAAATGCTTTTGTTTCTGTTATTTTTAGTGCAGACTACCTCTCCACTGTCATAATAGTCCATGTAAAACCTATTGACATGAACTTCTGTGTTGAACGCCTCTGATGGCATAGATAAAAATCCACTGGGTCCCAGTACATCTCCTACAACAAAATTTAGGCCTTGTGGAACTGTTACTGATCCTCTGAAGCTACCAGCAGAACTGAGAGTTCCTCCAGCCATTATCAGCAGCAGTGCTAAATGTACTCCAATTGGAGCAAACCGACCAGCCAAACCCTTAAAGGCATACAAAGATGGTCCTTCCAAGAATACCTGAAGAAACAGACAGTTGCAAAGATCTAGTTCAGTATCAAGGAATCGATTCAAAGAATTTCAGACAAGCACGATGTAGAAACTGCAAAATCACTAAGAGAAACACCACACAAGTCTAAAGAAGTCCACATTATCAGTACTTTTCAAACTTACGTGTTAACTCAGCATCTATGAGCACTTCAAAAAGTTATCACAAATCTCAAGAGCAAATGTGGCCACTTTCTTTTAACAAAATTGGAAGCAGTATTAATCACTGCAAACTAAAGTCTCTGGTTTAATTTAAATGTAATTTTAAATCATTAAAAGTTCCACTAATAAAAGGTAATTACTTTGGATGCTTCTGAGTTCAAAAGAGATGCTATAAAAAATTTCTCAACACTATCTTACATTACCAGAAGTTTGAACACATCAATCATTGACACTAACGGCACCTATGAACTTATGTCTGCCTTGCTATCCTTCAGGTACACAACTCCCTGCCCCCAACCCCTCTCCCCTTTTGGGATGATGTCAGATTTGAACCACATTAGAGCAAGGGAGGGCAGGCTTATCCTAGATATCTGCTTCGGGGTGAAACAAGAACCTTGCAGTATAATTTTAAAACTGATAAATCTCGTATATAAAATTTGTCAAGTAGAGGAGACTACATGATACATGTTCACTAACTAGTCTTCTCTACGTTTTCGACCAGCCCCATGTAATGTTTTTACTCTTTTGCTAATATGACTTAATAAGAAGTACAGACAGAGGCAAGAAAGAAAGCTAAAGAGAACATCAGACCTCATATCCAGCTCCCATCAGAATGACACCTAAATCCTTAATCGACGCTTGAGGTAGAATGTCAGTGTATTCCTGCTTCCGAATCACCTCAGCCGAGTATAAGAAAGACCATCTGTTAAACCAAACCACATATAATCAAGTCTCTCTCTATTTGCAACCTAGCAAAGAAGGCAAGGAAAAAGACACACAAGGGAAATCATTTTGTTTGCTTGTTTGATACACGAAACAAAAAAACATGATCTTTGTTTTTGCAAAAAGGACTTTGGAGTTTTAAGCAACTTCATTGGAAGTAAATGAGCAGGAAACGTAAAGTAAAATCCATACAGAGATATACTTGGTCCTTTTTATTCTCCTGTAGCCTATTTGAGCAAAAGATGAAAGCCGTTTCCTCTTAAGACCTCCGGAAGAGAAAACACATTACCCAACTTAATATAGTAACAGAGAAATCGGACCTTCTTGCTACTCTGACAAGGGGGATCTGGGTAGTGTACGTACAAGCCATGAGTGATGCTCCCAAGAGAGCCAAAGTTCCAAAGAAAATAGGGGATGTAAACATGTGATCGAAACCAAGGGTGAGAACCCATCTCCACGTGAAGAATCCCAGGACAGGATTATCTTCAGGATACTTGTGAAAATAAAAGTCCGGTGTCTCGCCTTGATCAATCACAGTTCCTGTCAGAAAATGATCACAACAATACTGCCTATTACTTATAGCTTGTACCCCCTTTTTTCTTTGGATATAGATTCAGAATACTCGCAAGTATAACATTTAAATTGACTGGTATCAGTTCAGTAACTGACATTGGAATATCCAAGTTAGAAATAACTGAATCTGATGCTGCATCGTATTAGGACATCAAGAAAAGGAAACTTGCTGGTAAGAGAGAAAAATTTAGTGCAATTACCCAAAGCCATCAGGGCAGCAACAGCGGCCATTTCTGCTAGAGCCAAAGGCAAATTAGAGAGAATAGCCAACACCCTCCTCCAAATACTACTCTTCCATGACCCTCCTACCCCTCCCAACTGGCTCTTCCGAGTGGCCGGTTGTCGGGTGCTGCCATTACTTATTCCGGCGGTTCCCTCCTCTGAAAGCGAAGGCGCCTCCTCATTGGACTCCGGGACTACAATCTTGCTCTTCTTATCCTCCTCGTCCTCCTTCTTCTTCTTCTTCTTGCTTTGCGTCAAAATATTATCTTTCGAGGTTTCGAGCTTATATGATACAGTAAAGCCCAAAGCTAGACCGTTATTCCTGCAGCAGAAACTGTAACTAATTTGTGAATTCCGGAGCGAGAACGGAGGCTTAGGAAAAAAGGGATAGTAGCCGTAGTAGCAGCATCTTGTTTTGGTACAACAACCAGTAGTGCCATTCTGAAGTTTAGATAATGGAATAGATTGGGATTGGGGCCTGGAGGAAGTCAAGTGGAGAGAACCCATTGATGCAAAAACAAGCTGCTACTACACTACACCATGCCTTCTTGACTTCTTGCTGCTGCTGTTGCAGCTTCAGCAAGACTGGAGAGGAGATGGGGTGATGTGTAACGACTTTTAACCGTAAAGTGGGGTTGGGGCGAGGATGGTTGCAGGTAGCAATGGCCAACTTGGGTTTGTTTGGGAGAAGATATTTCATGTAATTAATTTTTTTTAAACCAGTTTAATTAATTTAAATACCACTATACTGTTTCAATTTGGCTCAACATTTTTATTGAATCACCCCGTCATTGAGTAGAATTCATTTAGATTGATTTTCTATAATCGAATTTCTAATTATATGCTGCAGGTTCCAGATTGGTTGAGGGACCACAACGCTCGACAAAATGTTTTTATCCAAACAACTTCAAAAATTACTGCTGATTTAGTAAGAACTGCCTTAGTCATCGTTTGGGATGTTTTTTTAAAAAAAAAAAAAAATGTAAGAACTGCCTTTCACTAACCCAAAAAAAACAAAACAAGGATAATTAAGATTTATTCGTTCTTTCAAATTTTTACATAAATGAAATTACAAAAGCTGCAATTGGTTCTTCCTCACCGCTGAAACTGAAATAGAATAAAGTTTATGTAGAGTTACAATGCAAAATTACCTTACTTGAAGGAGAGTATAACACAGCCATAATCGGAAAAAGAAGAAGTCTGAAGTAGTAACATTAACCAAATTGGTAACTTCAAAGCTAATTTTCAAATGTAAGCCTGGACCCATATTTTCTTAGATGGATGCTCTGGTTTTCTTAATTTTCCAGCAAGCAGCAAGCATTATTGTAATCATCTACGTTGAGTCGAGGGAAAGCAAAGAGCACAAGTCAAACGCTAATTCGATATGAAATGCGAACAGAGGAAGATGTCACTTTCAGAACTAAGTCGACATTTCGACCACAGATCAAGCAAACGTGCATTAGACAGTTCTCTCGACATACAATAGCATGACTACCAACTTCTGAAATCGAACGCCTAAAAAATTAGACGCAAAAGTATTAAGAAGCCAGCAAGCAGGGCAATTATCTTCCAAAAGACCAGTTTCCCCTCCACTTGAGTTGAATGGTGATGAAAACCATGAGAGTATCCTCCGTGGAATGAACTTGAAAACACATAGGGCACTCCTGTCGTTGCCCCATAGACAGTGGCATCATGCATTGCATGCATCTGAAAACTAAAAACAGCTGGAATAATGCCAAAAAGAGCAGACAGCGTTAGGTTTCCAAACCTTGCATTTGACATGGGATCCAACTGATCTTGTGTGAAGTGGTTCATATTTACAGGCGGAGCTGATGGTGGTCTTTGCCCAACAGGCCGATTTGGAATATTAACTCCCGATATTTGGAAGGGTTTTGAATCTGATCTTCCTTTGCCCCTTCCATATATAGGAACCAGTTTCTCCTCAGCTATTATGGCTTTACAAACCGGACATTCGTGGGAATACGAATGACCTTGCAGCCATTGGTACAGGCAAGGCCAGCAGTAAAGATGGCCACAAAGTGTCACAACGGGATTTTGAGCTAAATCAAAGCAGATATTGCATTCAAAATCACCAACATCACCAGCCTCATCATTCTCATCAGTTGAGTGAGAAGTATCCACTGATTCACTAGTCCCACAATCCATATCCACTACCATGAATCTCAAAACTGCATAGAAACAAAATTAAAATATTTACTAAGGCCTTAAAATTCTGGCATAGGGAAAAACAGGTTCAAAATTAAGTAAACAAATTGACGTGTGAAACTAGAGCAATGAAGGGCATTCCAACAACATAGATAATAAACTAAAAAACCACAGCCAGGCTACAACATGTCATATTAGCAATATTTGTTTAACACACAAATATGCACACAACTCAACATCATGAACCTTAGAAATCAATCAAGCCTTAGGACGTTGATATGTAGGAATTTGCCAACAAAACAGTCAAAGAATAGTATGGTTTCACATTGGAAAACCAAACCCAAGAAGCAAGCTACGTGCTAAAATTGCTGGTCCTACATGATCAATCACTCTGCCAAGAAGTGGTGACTAGGAATTCTTGTTCTCCTAAATGCACAAGTATGTGTTTTAGGCATCCATCTCAAGCTATACTGAAACTAGACGGCTAAGGACAGCAAGGAGGAGATTATCAGTATCTGAAAAATCAATAACACGAGAATGAAAAACAATGGTTATCAGAAAGACAGAAAAGCCAACCTCAGTACTAAGAAGTGCTCATACGTAGCCTAGCAGGGTAAAAAAAGCAATCACATAGTGCACTTTTCTCTGACACTATCCATCTAGATATATCACTCTAGCTCTTGAACCCCAGCCTCTTTCCACAATTTTACCAGAAACCTGTCGCACATGGGGGAAGGATTTCCTAACAACCTTTTTGAGTCAGATTCACAAAGATAAGCATTCAAAAGTAGTACCGTGCTACTTCAAGGCCTGAAAGAAAACAAATTACGCAACTAAAGATATGCATTGTAAACTTTTCCAGTCCATATATCTGTAACACCAATTGAATCTTCTGGCAGTCTCCCCATTTTGATCATCACCAGTCCTAAAGACAGGGTAATTTTTAATCCTCATAACATTGCATAGGATTCAAAGCACCAATTGCTGCAACCACCTGATTCCTCACTAACTAAATTAAGGAAGTCTAAAAGTGAACGGATTGTTGACGTAGCAAGCGCCTTTAGACCTCAAGTAAAATCCATTTAACGTCTTCTTGACGTAGCAAGCGCCTTTAGACCTCAAGTAAAATCCATTTAACGTCTTCGTTAAAGTAATCAACTGAATACCACCATTGCTAAGGGATGCTAGCTCCCAGGCAGAAATACAACAATCAACTCAAGTTTACAGACACTGAGAAGATATTCCAACCCAACTACCACTTTCATTAAACCAAATTCATCCATACAATACGTAAACATCATCAAAGACCGTTTCAGAGGCTATACATGAAAATAAACATAAACCATGACACCCACTAAATTATAAACAATCAAAAAAAGAGCCAATAAGATTTGAGAATAGCATAGCCCAGTGGTTAACCGTCTAAGTCCCTCGTATACAACCAGGGTTTGATCCCAATAGTCGCCATGATGACTACCACTCCCTCCCTCCGAACCCCCCCCCCCCCTTTAGAAAATATCTTTAAAAAAAATCATAGTGATAATTCTAATTATTTACACTTAAAACTTAAGTAGCAGTAATTTCATCCGTAGCAATCATCAATTGCACCACCCTGAAAGAACGGTTTCCAGCAATTCCGAAATTTTCGAAAAAAAAAAATCAACAAAATCTAGAATCCTGCACTAAATTTGATTAATAAGAGACTAAATTAGCGTAACAGATAATTTATGTGAAGCCCAGAGATCGAAGTAGAAAGAAAATAATTAAGTGAAAAACTTACTCAAAGGGGAAAGAATCCTCTAGACAGATCCAATCTGAGAGGCTTATCTATTTCAGCAAATATGTACTTCTTTTTTTTGTCAAAAGCAAATATGTACTTCGACAATCGAAATAGGGAGAAAGAAGGGAGGGGAGGCCCAGAAGGACGTGACCAGGAAGTGGGGCGGCGGGGAGGGACCGAATTGGTTGGAAAACATCTTTTGGAGGTTAAAAGTTAAAACTAGGGGGTTCCTGCGGGAAAAGGGAATTACGAGAATGGTCCAGCTGCCTCAAGAGAAAAAGTATTTTCCAATTGTATTATGTGGCACGTGGTGATTGGACTTATATTGAGGAGATTGCGTTCCAATCGACAAAAAAAATCGGAAGTCATAAATTCACCCACCTTCATGCTTGATCCCCGCCCTAAGCATGGATTAATTAATATGAATAGTTTCTAACAGTTGCTATTTATTTGGACTTTGGAGTAATTTGCCAATGCATTTATTTCCTACAAGTAATGTTACTAATGTATCTTATAGATAGATTACTTATGGCATATGGCACACAAGGGGCATTAGATCTTTTACATTAGGTGTGAGAGTTCTTGGAGGTGAGAAAAGTAGGTTTGGTAATTAAATCAAATCACGTTAAATTTTGTATGTCACTTTTATTTTTATATTTTTATTTTAGTGTTCTTGATTTCTTAATAATTATTTGTTCCGCATCTAAATTCCAAGAAACATTTATACTCAATCATAAACTACTCGTAAACTTTATCTTTATAAACTTGAAAATAATACTTCAAACGCATCTAAATATTCTCTATTCATGAGTATCACACGAACAATTCTTGCATGTAAAGGCAAATAAATAAATAAAAGAGGAGGAAAACACGTGAAAGAGTTATCCTTGACGGAGAAAGATTTGAAATTATAAATTGAGGGAGAACCACAGGAATTGTAGCTAGACTAAGGACATGGATGTCTAAGGTGCCAATTTAACCCATAGCTTAATGAAAAATGTCGCCTCCGTTAATCGACTTTTGCCTAAAATATAGAACGGTTTTGCTCAAAATTTGATTGAATTTGAATTTCAAAATTTACTCATGTATCATCTATCCAATGATAGCATATATAAGATTTATCTTCTGTTAAATGCAAACATTGCCCATATGCAGCACACTTGCTCTCATTTTGATTTATCACTCAAATTTGACATAATAAAAAAACAAGAGTCTTGAAACTAAAGATTGGGGCTTTCCACTCTTGTTCCTTAATGACATTATTGTTAGAGTTCTTCTACTAGTATTTCTAAGAAACAGAATTGCAATTTGAAAATTTTTATTTTCTTACTGCTAAAGTGAAAAGTGTTTCCTTTCGTAGATGAAATCTTTTTGTTATTTTAGACTATTTTGATGCCAACCATAATTTCTGATTCATCAAATTGGGGTACAGTTGCATGGCATGCACACAGCATTAACGATTCAATACGGACCACAGATTTTATTTACTCCAGACTTGGAAATATATTTTTCTTTTCTTTTTTTTTTATTGATCCTGAATTTATCACCAGGATTTTGAAAAGTGACTGTAACCACAACTTTTAATACAAACAATCCAGCGAAATACGTACATGTTTTGAGGTATAAACCTCGTTTTTTTTTTCTTTTTGGATCAATAGGGGATATCGACACCATTTTTACTCCAAACTATACTACGAGAAAGCCTTGCTAGGCTAAGGCAACTTAAGAGGGAAAGGTATTCATCTCTAAATCAAAAGGATCCACTACTACACCTGCCAGGATGAATATACCAATTTAACAAATTCTAATCGGATGCGGATTTATTACAAGTTAATCAAGATCTGGGCTGAAGTATCTGAAGAGCGTACGCAATCAAACTAATTATCTTCAAATGATATGGCACCTTCAATAACAGGCATCAGGCTAGCAGCTCCTATTTAAGGGGAAAAAAAAATAGATAAAAAATCAGCCAGAAACCTAAAAGAATATTACACCTTTCGCATTCTCATCTGGGATCAACGGAAGTAGCAAAATGCAAATAGACGAAAACTGGCAAAGATGAACGAAAAGTAAACGCAAGTAACTCGCAGATGTTCACGTGATTGTCAATTTGGAACGAGTTCTAGTTCCAAATTATCATTCCTGTGAGTACAAAGCAATTTTCTCCTACGTATAGGTTTTCTTATGTGTCTGTGAGTACAGTAACAGACTTCAGTGGCCTCAGTTACACGGTGGAAGCCTGGAAAAACTACCCCACTTTCAGTTCAAGTGAAAAGCAATAAAGCGATCAGGATCACATCCCATCAAACGCATTGTACTGCCCGGTCATACGTCCCAAATGTACTGCAGTTCTCCTCAAATGCATCTCGTCTTCAATGATCATGTATTGTCACCCTGGCTCTGTCAAATAACTAGGTCAGACCTGTAGAAAGCAGGTGCTAACCGCTTATGTTCATAATTTCACAAAGAATGCTTTTTTTCTACAGATCGGGGGGAAAAAAAAAAGGTTGGATTTACCCCGGAGTAGCATATTCAGCTCTGCTTTATTATCAGTTCAATGTCAGCTCCAACTTCAGCAATCTTCGTGGCCTTAGATGCTTTTGCTGCTTTTGCAATGCTTTCCACATCGAAGTCGACAGCTATTTTTCTAACAAGGCCTTCAAGCATCTGAATTTCGCACAATAATGTTACTAACATGAGTGAAATGGAGAAATGTCACAAGTCAATTTTAAAACAAGAACAGCATGGCCAAAAGATGATAATCACATTGACTACCTAAGAAAGTTGAACCCAAAACATGGAAGAAGGATATAGGTGCAAAGGCGCTAAAAACAACAATCGAATTTCATTTACGGACCACAGATTTGCTTCCATTGCATATGTGCAGAAAAATCATACTTCTCAAATGAGCAATGACCTATCTGCATAATTCTATGTGCGAAGTCCAAATGTTCTCAGCAACGAATGTAGTGTATAAAATCTAAAATGCCAATAACTATCAGGGGCAGGGAGAAATCAGATTGACCACCTTGATTGCAGAGATTACAAAAGCTGAACATAGTCACAGTTACATCCTCCTTACAGCTTGTGAACATTGCTTTTGAAAACTGAGAATCTAGCTAGCAGCAACCAGGCTTACACCATTTTAATCTTCACAATTGCATAGGGCAACCACTTGCTACTCAATAAACAATTTAGTATCTATTTTTGCAAACTACTCTATTTTCTCTGAACTTACAGGGCTACTGTCTCCTCTGCCAGTGGCCTTCCATCTTTGCTCAACATTCTCATAATCAAAGGTCATGGAAGATTTTAAATGTACTAGCATTTACCAAATTAACAAATCTATCTCCATAGAGAACCAGAAAGACTATAGTGTGACTTCACCAGTTGGTTAAGCAGCCCCTGTTGCTTTGCCAATGCTTGAAATTTTGCCCTAAAATTCCATCTTACATTTTATACTTTTACTACAATTTGAAGCATCAAATGAAGTTTGTGATTTAGAGCATGAAAAATAGGGAGAGATTAGAATCAAAGTAACTACAACTACAGAAACAAAGAAAGAAGCTCGAACTTACCAAAGATCCAATGGCAACCAAAGCCCGAAATCTGGAATCGGTATCAAGACTTTCATCTTCTGCAATCTTTAAGATCAGAGGAGAAAATACATAATGTGAAATATACGGTCCTATTAAACACCAAAAGACATTTAAACAGGAACATTTATTTTTCACTAAATGAGATTAAAAGACATTACCTCAAGTGCTGCCGAAAGAACTTGAGCTTGCCCTTCTTCATCCTTCTTTTCAATCAGTAGAATGGCATAACTGAAAATACCACAGAATGATAGCCAAGAAGTAGAAGGTAACAGGAAGAAATTAAGTAGTCAAGAAACAGCCAGCTTAAACAAAAAGACAATTACTTTCAGTAAAACCAATTATAAACAGAGATGGACACAAAGAGACTTTCTGCCTGACAAGAAGAAAACAGAATGGTGGAAGTGGAACAGATATTGTCAAAACTGTGCAATTAGCAATAACCACAAGCTCATAAAGGACAAAAGAATAAAGAGTTCAATTAGCATGCTCGATACATGACAAAAACAGAGCAGAACAAAATATTGCAATAAACTGTTTAAAAAGATTTTTTGGTCAAACACGGCAGAGATTAGCGTCAGAATATAGCAACTACATTATAGGAAATGATCGTTCACAAGGTACATACTTGAGCATCAAAGTTGAGTAAGCCACTTGTACGTTTTTATTTGAAGATGAGTAACTACTTGAGAAGGCATCCAGTATCTACAAGATCATTAAAAAAGACATCAGAAAAAGTGAAATTCAGTAAGCTATCAATGGACAAGGAAATATGGATGCATAAGCTAAGCACGCGCAACTTGTACAGTACAACAACAGCATTCTTGCACAGATTCAGTTATCAAATTGTTAGCAAACTTGAAACACAGAAAAAGAAAAGGCACAAAAACAAAATACTAGTTTAGTCAAAGTAAATCACTAAAACTTCCCATTAGAACTCTTCATTACATAAACAGCCAAAGATACAAACCATAGGCTCCAAAACCAGAAAGCATGCACATAGCTAAAGGAAGGCAAGCTTCTGGTGAAAATATAGGGCAACTATACAATAGGCACTGCAAATTATGTACCTTCATAGAAACCAACAAGCAGCAGTGAAGACAGCTGGGGTAATGGATAAAAACAATTCATATTTTTGCCCCTAATTAGTTGATTTACATAGCTAAAGGAAATAGAAACAAATAACATTAATGCCATTTGTGAGCTGTTCAGTCTCTACTTTGATATTTATCTGTTTCCACCCTAGTAACATAGGTGAGCAAGAAGCTGATAAATTAAATCAGATTAAACATTGAAATTGCAATCATTTCCTAACTTTTTATTAGGACCATGATTTTATCCTTTAGCCAATGAAAGGGGAAACTATGAAC